TATCAGTTATAGAGATATGGTAGCACCCCTTCAGTTCACTCATTGCTATACTGGTGTTTAAACCGGGCAAAGAGGTTCCCAGCCTCTACCACTAGCCTGCTAGAGCTCTAGGTTGTTTCTTAGTGAATCTCCAATGAGGATAATAACACTAAGAGTCCATTAACTGAAGGCTCACTATGTCCAGATAGAGAATTAACACTTGTTGCTATAAATTCTGAAGGATCAAAGAGTTAACAAATTGCAGAGTGATGATTCAATCCCTGAGCATAGAATTGTGAACTCAATAAGAAATGATCACATTGAATAATTATTTATCTAATTAACAAGTATTGACTTAGCATCCATTGTGGGAAAAGTCTAGAGCTAGGCATATGGGAGGGATAAAGTTCTATAGCCTCTCACCAAGCTTCAGGCATGTGGCACTCACTGAAGTAATGGCTTAACACATTACACTTCCCACCATTACTGTCACTAGTACTATAACCACCACTGTCATAGCTCTGCCAGCATCACCTCTACCATCACCATTGTCAACACCAGAAAAAAAATTGTGGAGCATCTGTTTACATGTGGCCCTGTGACACTTCTCAGAAGTGGTACTTGGGTCACAGCTAGGGCATGCTGAAGGATGAGGTGGTGCTTGAATGAAGATGAGATTGACAAACTCTAACTCTTAGCCTGGAGCAGGCTGCACATGCCAGTCTCCTGGGAGCTGTCAATCCAGGACAGAGCATGATGCTTGAAGAATGAAAAATGAGCTTGGTTTATATAATGTTCTGGGGGGAGTTGATGATTGAGGTGTCAGTCTCCTTTTCTGAGAGCCCATCTGTCCTGATTTCCTGATCACAGTTTCTACCAACCTGTCACAAAAGGCACCCTATTATATCAGGTGGTGCCTCACCTCTGTGAAACTAGAAGGGATGTTAAATGCATCAAGGCAACATTTTAAGCCAACTGTAACCTCTTGAAACACACACACACACACACACACACACACACGGAAAATCTAGAACCAGAGACATAAAAAGTGAGTCAGAGTCTACACTGGGAACTTCAGTATATCCATATACATGAAATTTGTTTATATATATTCAGATGTACTTATATTCATGATATTATTCCAATCACAGAACCAAATGAGACCATGTACTCTTTCAAGCACACAAATCCCACCCTTCCTATCTCCATGCCTTAGCTTATTTTCTATCTACAGCCTGACATGCCCTTTCTCTGAAGCTGCAAATATCCAGATACAATTATTATGGGTTGAATTATATGCACCAAAAGATGCTATGTCCTAACCCCTAGTACCTGTAACTGTGACCTTATTTGGAAATTGAGTCTTTGCAAATGCTCACGTTTAGATGAAGTCATTAGGGTGGGCCCTAAGACAATATGACTCGTGTACTCACGAAAAAGGGCAATTTAGAGATGGAGACAGCCGTGTGCAGAAGAAAGATGACTTGAAGACACAGGGAGAACATTGTCTACAGGCCAAGGCATGCATGAGGCTACCAGAAGCTGCAAGAGACGCCTGGAGCAGATTCTGTCTCATAGGCTTCAGCCTGTCACAGGGTTGGTTCTTTGACTTCTGACTTCCAGCCTCCAGAACTGTGAGACTTCTGACTTCCAGCCTCCACAACTGTGAGACAGTCCATTTCTATTGTTCTGAGCCACCCACTGTGTGGCAGCCCCAGTAAATCACCACACAAATCAAATCTCAACAATAACCTACTTCCCATGGAACATCTTCTGAGTGCAGCCTGGCATTTAAAACACATTGAACTGGAGGTATTCATTGACTAACTCACTGTTGGACCCTTGATGAATGACACTGTACTAGACCCTATGATGATACAAATATGATATGGTTTTACTGTCAAGACTCTTCTAATCTCTGTGCATGGCAGCATGTAAACTCTGTGCACCTGTAAGGCAGGATCACATAGGTGCTAAACAGATTCAGAATGACAAGTGACAAGAGCTATGACAGAGAGGGCTGTGTGGAGGAGCGAGTGGGCCTGAGAAGTGGCTCAGGTAGTGGATATCTCCCTCTTGACAGCCTGGGAGACCCCACTAACAATCTTGACTCTGGCTGCCTCTGCTGCCTTGTCTAAGTAGCCTTGGAGGTCAGAGCAGGTGCTTGGCCTGTGGTCCTATGATGCTGTAGACAGATAGGTCGACATAGTTAAGGGAATCTTAGGCAGGCCCTAGGTTTTGCTTCCCTTTCCAGAAACTTCTCTGGTGCTTACAGGGGATTGTGGGAAAGTTGAGTGTCAGCAGTCTGGAAGCGTTCGTGTGTACAGAATATGGAAGCTACACGGCGTGCTCCCTTCTTGCTTGTTTTGCTGCAGTAAAAACTGCCCTGGCTTGGAGAGTTGAGGCTAGTAGTAGAAGGTGATGTAGCCCATGGCCATCCCTCAACCTAGAGCTGAATCCCAGTGATGTTTATCATCAAGGGCTTTGAGGGTCCTCAAGAATATGCCTTGGTCCCTTTCCTAGTCTTTTTACCTTGCCCTGTCTTGTCCCCCAAGCACTCAGAATTTTGATATGCCTTTATATGGCCAACTGATACCCAAATACTTGAATGCCCTTTTCTTCTCTCACCTGGCTCTGTTTCAGTGACCTGCCTGACAAATCTATTTGTGCTTTCTCCTATGTTCCATTTATTTCCCCCCATTTTTAAATTTAGGCATTCATTCTAGCATTTATCCAATACTTTTTAACTGATTCCTTTTTTTTTTTCCTTTTTTTCCTTCCTCTTGCCTCAGCCTCCAGAATAGCTAAGACCACAGGCATTTGCCAGCACAGCCAGCTACCTTTTTTAATGTTTTGTACAGATGGGGAATCTCACCATGTTGCCCAAGCTAGTCTTGAACTCCTGGTCTCAAGCAGTCCTCCCACCTTGGCCTCCCAAAGTGTTGGGATTACAGGCATGGGCCACTGTACTTGGCCTCATTAACTGATTACTCTTTAAGTACAAGACTTTTGCCATTATCTCGTTGGGGTTGGCAGAACTGTGTAGAAAATACACTTGGGAATCAAGCTGACCTGGATCTCATCCTCAGAAACTTAGAATGCCATAGGATTCATACATCTGGACTGCAAGGTAGAGTGAGACACACATCATCAGATGGCTGTCTGTTCAACATCTTGGGCAGGAAACTTTTAAGAAGCAGAAACAACAGCACTCCAAATTGGGTGGTGGTGGAGAGGTAGAACAAGGTAGAAAGAGGAGTCTCTCCTGTTTGTCAGGTTTTCACCAGCAACACTGTCCACCATGGAGCAAGGCCTTGCCCTGACCTCAGTGCTAATAACTCAGGAAGCACAGGTTCAGAATAATAGCAATGCTCCTTGTGACTGTCCATGTCCTGAAGATGCCCTCTAGTTGACCTTCTGAACAAGCCTGCCACCTCCTCCATGAAGCCATCCTGATAATCCCAGGTAGCACTAATGGCTCCATTTTAACTTCTCCTTAGTACCTGTATCATGACTTACATTTTAGTTACATTGACTTCAGCCCCTAGATATAAGTACTTGGAGGTTAGAAAACATATCCAATTCATGTTTTTATCATTCTAAAGCCTAGTATATTCCCATTGTTCAATGAATCAGTAAATAAGTCAACAAATATGTATTGAGTGCCTATTAAGTGCTGGTCACTGAGCTATGCTCTGGAGATCAGTACTTTGAAGAGAACAGTGTCAGTGGTTGCAATATGGTCTGTTCTTACTTGACTCTATTTCCTTTGAGCCTCCAGCTCCCTGACAGACTTACTGACCACACCCGTGGGCTTGTGCAAAAGAAACATAAATGCTCCCTGATGGTACTTGGAGATGCCTCAATGTATAGGTCTTCTGGTTGTGATGCCTCATATCTGTGATCAGGACAGCTTGCTGGGTCCTGTCTTACCCAAATTCCCTGGTTTCCAGCTCCTTGCCTCAGATCCAGCTCCCTATGTGGCTAGCCTTCCCTAACTACTCTCTTACCTAACTTTTGACCCCTGCTGTGCCTTGACCATCAGCTCTTAGATATCTCCTCGAATCTGGCTCCATGAGACCAAGCCTTTATTGCCCACCATAAAGCCTGTCTTACCATCTTAGACCTGCGTTTTCAGTCTTTATGACACACATGCTCTCAGGCAAGAAGAAAAGGACAAAATGATAAATAGGTATGCCAATATAAGTGTATTTGACTGTTGTAAACATGAGAATTCTGTCTTATCAGATTAAAACAAATTCAGTAAGAATGTAAGCTGGGGAAAAGTGAAATATTCTGAGATCTTTATACTACCTGTAATGAGCATAAATATATTGTATAAGTTTAAATTTTAGAAATTATGTTTCAGTGTTGAGGGTAAATAGTAAAATAATAGAAACAGTACAGCTCCCTAGCAGACAAAAAACAGAAATAATAAAAATAGACAAACCCAAAAGAAGATAATAAAAGAAACCTGCAAGAAACAAGGAAAATATAAGCACAAAATAAAATTTTAATGCCTGAATATTAGAAATTTAAAAAACTTAAATGGAATAAGTTTTATGGAAAAAAATATTTTCAAGCTATTAAAAATATATAAACATGAAATATAAAAATTAACATTTTACCATATTGTATATACTCATTCTTGTATATATGCACTCATAAATATACACACATACATTCCTGTACATAGTATTTTCAAGAGACATGTCTAAAATATAAGGATATAAAAAGGTGATAGATAAAAGGATGGAAAAAATACAGCTAGAAATACTAATCAATAGAAGAATACATGAATGTGAAACAAACTATACTCTAAACATTAGAGAAGTATAAATTCACAATGAAAAATGTTTTAACACAAATATTACAACTTGATATGTAAGAACATAAAATAAAGCTTTGTAATACATAAGATAAAAATATACAGGGTTGCACAAGGTATGCTGTCCTCAAAAGCCAATAAAGAATTGCATGAGGGGAAAAAAGCAGAATAGGAGATTTTTATTTTTTTTCTGATAAATATGAAATGCTTCACGAACTTGCATGTCATCTTTGTGCAGGAGCCATGCTAATCTTCTCTGTGTTGTTCCAGTTTTAGTATATGTGCTGCTGAAGTGAGCACAGAATAGGAGATTTTAATATACTTCTATCATAGATACAGTTTGCAGAAGAATTATAATGACACAGAGGATTTAAACCAGATTAAAAATCTGACCTATTGAATGGATACAGAACATTGCACCAAAAGATTACAGAAAACATTTCTCTCAGGTACACAAACAATATTTATAAAAATCTATCATTTCTGGACTTTGAGTCAATCTCAATAAATTTTACTGGATGGAAATTGTATCAAGCATGTTTTCTAATAAAAAGTCAATTAAACAAGAAATTTAACAGAATAGCCTCAAAATGTCAAATTTGAACATGCTTCTTAATCAAACACGTGTGGACAAATAAAAAGTATAGTATTAGGACACATCTTGAATTAAACAATTGTGAAAATACTACTGAAAATTTGAGTGTGCTAGAGCTGACTCATATCATCTTGCAAGAGCTGACTGTTAAATATTCAGAGAATTTTCCTACTGGTTGTTAAACCACTTATAGCTTGAATTTGGTCATGGTAGAGTATTTACAAGACAAATATGAAATTGCCATGCTACAAATCAGTCCTTTTTTTCTTTTTTATTATTTATTTATTTTTAAAGACTAGTCAAATGCAGTAGTGAGAAGGAGGGAAACTAGAAAAAGGAGTTTGATCTGTAACTGACTGTGAACAATCAACTGAGATAACTCACTACCTTCGGACCAGGCTCCTTTTTTATTTTTTATAAGCTAGTTACCATAAAACCATGGAATGCAGTTAGAACATCAGATAGAGGGAAATGTATAGTCTGAAAGGCATGGATTGGAAAAAAGATGAGAAGTTTTAACTTCAAAATTAGGAAAAACAAAGCAATATAAATCCGAAGAATGTAGATAAAAAGAAACAAGATAATGAAATAGAAAAATATTATATAAAATAGAAGAGATTAAACAAAACCAAAACTTATTTCTTTATGACTAAAATTGATAAACTTCTGGTGAAATTGACCAAGAGAGTGAAGAAATATACAAATATTAGGAATGAAAATGAGCATTACTACAGATACAGTACACATTAAGAAGATAATAGAATATATGAAAAACTTAATGCCAGTATATTTGAAAATAAATATGAAATATATGCATCCTTGGAAAAATGTAACTTATCAAAATGTTATTCATGAAGAAATAAGAATCCTGAATTGTTCTTCAATTATTAGAAAAAAATCTTATCTGGAACTCTCTAGCCCCAGATGATTTTATCAGTACTATAATGTTTGAGGAAGAAATATTTCTAGTTTATAGACATTTTTTCGGACAATAGGATAATAGGGCACATCATCCATTATGTTTTATGAGGCTATATCTAATTTTGATTCTAACACTTACCAAAGGCATAGTGAGAAAGAAAAATTAGAACCCAATCTTAGGCATGGATGTAATATAAAATGTAAAGTACAATTAGTAAAATAAAATCAGGAATATATAAAAGATATATGTATCATGACTAATTTGGGTTTTTCTTAGGAATGCAATATTAGCGCTATTTCAGAAAAGCAATTCATGCAACTCATCACATTAACAAAAAAGAGAAATGATATGATTATCACAGACTCTTGGAGAATACTTGGTAAAAGTCAATATGCACTCATAATCTCTTCCAAAATAGGAACAGCATAAAATGTTTTTAATAAGACCAAAGGTATCTACTATGATCTTATTGCAAACATCACATTTAATGTTAAAACTTTGAGAATTCTTTTGAAATTTGAAACAACACAAGAATTCCCACTATTGCTCCTTCTATTCAATCTTGTTCTTGAGTTCCTTGCTGGCTCAGTAAAATAATGAAATAAACGTCCTGAGAACTGAAAGGGAAGAATAACTGTCACTATTCACAAATAAAAGCTGTAGAAAATCCAGAGGAATTCATAGGTAAATTATTATAATTAATATGAGAGTTTGACATGGTTCTCATATTCACATTCAATACTCAAACAATAAATTTAATTCATATAATCAAGCACGAAATTGAAAATGAAATAAAAGAGCACCATTTATAGTAGCATAAAAGAAGATATCCTTGGGAATAAAACTAACAAAATATTTCTGTTTAAGACCTTGCCCAAGAAAATTAAAAGTATTATTGAAACATTAAAACAAAATAAATGGATTGTATACTACATTTATAAGCAGAATAGTTGACTTTTATAAAAATGTCATTTGAATTCTAAGTTCCACACAAACCCAAACAAAATTTCATGAATTTGTATTTTTTCTTTAACTTGGCAGGCTGATTTTAAAATTTACATGAATATGCAAAAAGTTAGAATATCCAAGACACTCTTGAAGTAGAACTCTCACTGGCTGTATCTATCAAGTTTAGTGGGAAAAGCAAGGAGTTTTCAACAAATTACTGGAGCAATTAGGTACCCATATGGGGAAAAAAGTGTGATCTTTACCTCATACCATATTACAAAAGTCAATTTCAGTGGATTAAAGACTATGGGTGGAAGAAAAATAAATTAGAAAAAATATGACATCAGAAAAAATATTTAAACCAGAGTGGGAGAAAATATTTTTAGCTTTCTATAACCAACAACAAACTAGTATCTGAAACATTTAACGAATTCCTTCCAAATCACTAATGAGTAAAACGCTTAAACAGATGCGGCACTTAAAAGGAAATGCAATGGCACTAAGTATAAGAATAACAGTCAATAAATCAAATACAGTCATAATGGAATTTCTTACTTCATGGGCAAAAACTAGACAGGTCAGACAATGAAGAGGTAGCGGAATATTGGAGGCTCCTCCACTGCTGGTGGAGTGGAAGTTGATAATTTGGTGCAGCTACTTGGAAATCAGTTTGGCATTTAGTATACTGCTCCTAAATATACACACCCAGAAATACAATCCTGGGTATACACCCTAGCAATTTTGTGCATATGTGTACCAATCAACATTTACAAGCTTGTTCACGTCAGCACTGTTTGTAGTAACTTCAGCACTGATACAACCTAGATACTCAAACAGAATAGATGAATTATTATACGTTGTAGTATACTCACACAATGAAATGCTGTATAGCAATAATAGTGCCCCAGCTCCACAGTACATGCAAATCTCAAACACAATATCTAAAGAAAGAAATGAGATTCAAATAATACAGAAAGATTCCATTAATATAAATTTCCAAAACAGGGAACAAGACTTTAGAGTTGCATCATGAGTGGTAAAACCAGAAAAAAAAGCAAAGAAATGACAATCACAAAAGTCAGTGTTGTAGTGACCTCTGAGAGGAAATGGTAAAGCAGTAATCAGGAATGGGACATACATATAGGTCCTTGGTGAAGGTTCCTTTTTGGCGTGGCTGGTGGACATGTGGGTGTCCTCTTATTTTATTTATTTGTTAAACTGCATACATGTGTTTTATGTACTTTTTTGCACATATGCCCATGCATCATAACTTTTTTAAAGTAAAAGGGTGGGGGAAGGTTAAATTACCCCTGGATGGCAGTGTCCATCTGCTAATGGCTGTGGAAGATACTTGATCCACAGAAGTTGTGAGTAGTCTGGGAAACTTTGAAGAAAAACCAAAACCCCAGAGCAGTCCATCTGGGAGCCAAGGACACCAAGTCTAAGACTTTTGGAGAGAAGGACTTGGGAAGGAATTTTCTGTTCATTGTTCCAGCCTCTCTTGCAACAAGTCTTGGCCCTGAGCGGTCACTTAACACACATCAACTGAGCACTATTAGTGTACCCACAACCTGTGCTAGGCGCTGGGGGTGCAGAATCCAGTAAGATTTAGGCCTTCGGAGAGTTTACCACCCCTAGAAGAGATGAAGGAGGAAAGAGATGATTACAGTAGGGTGCAGGCTAGTCTAAGGGCGAGGACCTCTTCCTGGAAGAGATGACACCTGAGCTCTGTTTTAGAAGCCAATTGCCAGACAAAGTAGTGAAGGATAGTCAAGGAGAAGGGAATCACATGAGGATAAGCAAGAAATAGCAGGTGCATGCTAGAAGCAACTGACAGGTCTGATGTCTGGAGTGCTCTTTAGTATATGCAGAGGTGACCTTTTATCCTGTATTGAAGGTTTATTGTTTGAACCTCATCTCTATCCCTGGCATGCTACAATTATGGGTTAATTAAATGTGGAAGGCCTTTTCAGCTTTAAGAGACACTGACTATTCCTGAAAGGGATATCTTTAAGGGGTTTAAATCAGTATTAATATCTAACACATTTTTACTGAGTGCCTACTATAAGCCAAACAGGTGCTCAGCTGGCAGACGTAGAAGGCAGGGTGTGGGGAAGTTAGATAAAAATTATTTCTGTTAAGCCCACAAAATATAAAGGTGATAGACTTTACATTTATACAGCATTTTGCCATTTTTAAACTTTTCCACAAATATCTCATTTGGTTTAAAGAGGAAGGAGTTCTGACTGGGTCTTTTGAGTAGGATTGACACGTGCCCTAGACAGCAGTAGCAAGAAATCTCCGTCATGGACTGCTGACCCCTAGTCTGGGATTTATTGAAGGCTGACAGAGGAAGAGGAGACACTTGGCTCTTGTAGCATTACTAGGTGAACTGGAATAAAGTGGTTTCGCCTCTCAGAGCTGGATTTTCCCTTTGGTAGAAATGCTTTGACATTCTTAGCAGAAAGGTTTTCATAAGGTTCTGCTCAATAGAGTTGTTAGCAATAGAGCAACAGTAATAATAATCTGTAAGTAATCTAGGCTGAGGCAGCAGGAAAAAAGGCCACAGGAGATGCACTACTAGGTTTACCCAGAAACAGAGGATGATTGGTGCTGTGTAATGCCTTCTCCTTTCAGCATAGTATCCTGGAAACAGCAAAGAGTTTGAAGTTAAAAGATGTGATTTTAGCCTTGGTTCAATCACTGCCTAGCTATCTGACCTTAGGCGAGCTATCCAACCTCTCTGAGACTCAATTTTCTCACCTGTAAAATGAGGATGTTAACCTCTGCCTGCCCTCGGTGATTACGGGATGGAAATGAGATTAATGTCTGAAA